TGCAGCATATACAACAGTGCGATACAGGACAAGACAGTGCAGCATATACAACAGTGCGATACAGGACAAGACTGTGGGGACAGTGGTGATAAAGATGCAAATAGACTACAATGTAGTAAATAAAATATCATTAAAGTGCAGAAGTGGAATTACATGGCTAAACTTATGCCAGCATATTCGTGCTCTGATTGGCTGACCTTCTGAAGGCCTCCTCCCCGCCCCCAGTGAGGCCGCATCCCCCATTCGAGCTGTCTGCCGTCACTGTCCCTGCCGGCTTCCTGAGTGTCGAGTGGAAGCGCCACGAGCTGCCAGTGTACGGCCTCCAGTACGAGGTGCGCTACGCAGCAGAGGGCACCAGCACGCACTGGAAGGTACCGCGTTCTTCTGGGGCCTGTTAGCGGGGGCTTGCATTAGTGCGTGTCCCCAGCTAGGTGTGGGGGGGGGGAGCTTATAACAACAAAGTGTAAGTGTGTAAGTAATCGGAAGCCAGCTGCTGGTCACATGACCCATTTTCCCAAGATGGCTGGTGGTCCCTTTCCCCCACTGTAACTTAAATGAAATTTGTTAGAATTATACGCTTCAGTGTAATATTGAACGTCTTTGCAGTGTAAATCGAAATGGGGTGCAAACCGCCAGATTAAGCTATCTCGATGAATGCCACACTATCTGCCACTCCCTGAGCCACTGTGACTAATAGCTTTTCATTTATCTGATATGAAGCCGTTTTGGGTCTTATCTGCAGGTTGCCGGACCTGTATTCAATGAGTCAGCCGCGGTCGCGGTCTCGGACCCGTGCCTGGTTTACACGGTCCAGGTGCGCTGCTGGCGCTCTGGGGGGGCCGGATACTGGAGTGACTGGAGCGACCCCTGCAACAGCACCGTCCAGAGCCTCAGAGGTCCGGTCGCGCCTGAACCCTGACCGCAGTGGCCATGACATGCTTTCAGTGACACTTAAGTAACTGGCAGTCCTAGCCCAACCCATTAAGTGGCTTTGGCAGCAGAGGGCACCAGCACGCACTGGAAGGTACCGCCATCAGGTGCCATCTTCTGAGGGGGCAGTGCCTACGCAAGCTAATATCACTCTATATCATACAGGGGGTGCCAGTGGTGAGGTTTGTCTGTGTGCCACATGGGCTTCGACCAGTACTGGAAACCATATACAGCTGAATTTTATTCAGGCCTTAAAGGTTAAATATATGGCTAAATTTCAATTGCCATCAGAAATTGGTGTCTCTGCAAACTTTTTACATCAGAAAGACCAAACAAATTCAGGTTTTATATCCATATTCCAAGATGTTTCCTGGACATCGACATTAATTTACTCAGCAGATGCTTTTATGCAAAGCGTCATACATTTTTTGAGAAAGCAGGTCATACTGTACAGTCTCTGGAGCAATTGTGGATTAAGGGCCTCGCTCAAGGGCCCAACAGTGAACTGACTTTGTCTACCCTAGTATTTGAACTAACAACCTTCTGATGACAGGAACGGGGGGTTGGGTGGGTTATGAGGTTCATAAGTAGGGCGTCTAATTTGCAGACAGGTCTGACATCTATATTTAGCAGTAGCTCCTTATTACGACTACGAATGACAATATGATGAGCTCGAAAGTCTGGAAATCCATGACTGTTGAAGTTATTCCGTGTCCCAGAGACTCTCAGGGACCTTGCAAAACAAACAGGCGTCGCCTGGAAACGCCGCGATCCGGCGGCTATGCGGCCACCGACCCATTTATGAATAAAATACATAGTGCAGTAGTGTGGTGTGTTCAGTGAAGGAGCAACAAGTCAATATTTACAGAAGAAAATCCCGACCGCTGCTTTAGTCATACGTGGCTGCTGTTGGCCGTCGTACCTGACAAACGATGAACAGGTATCAGGAGTGGCAGACCTGCAACTGCGGCCGCTACAAACATCCAGAAGCATCCAGAAAGTGGTTAAACGCCCCTGCAGTGCTGGTGTCTCTGATCTGGTGCCAATCTACAGCTTGTCAGTCTCTCCCCTCCTCAGCGCGGGTTGATGTACGGCACTGTGCCAAAGCCTCAGGCCGTCAAAGGAATGTTTGAAGCTGTTTACTGGGTAGTCAGTGTACATTTGCTCAGAAAAAAACACACTATTTAACATCACAACATATGCAAATTAACATTAACACAACAGCTAAGAAGAATGTTCTGTTCCCCAAAAAGTTACTGACATCTAGTTGGATGGCTAGATGAACGCTGCTTCAGTTCCCAAACCTCTCCTCAGGGGCACCTCAGCCATTCCATGTACTTGTTAAATTTCACCACGGGCTCACTTAATCAGTTAATTAAATTAGTTTAGATTAATTAGTAAAGGAAAAAGTCAATGTGGTATTGATTAGCCATACAAGGTCGGTAGTCATGGAGTTTAACGGGAATGTTGGCAGGTTGCTGCAAGACCTGGGGTGACGTTAGCAGCGGCTTGGAAATGCTTAAGCTGACACTTTTACAGACATAATATGATTGTACACCAAGGTGAAGCATCATTTTAGCATCGTTTTCTTTGACTGCCTAAGAGCTGCTCAGTGCTGTATCTGGGGGCCCTGGGCTGACATCAGCATGGGCACAGAGGCAGTGTGATGTGTGGGGGCCCTGGGCATTAGCCTCGGATGGCTTATGCATTAACCCCACCCCCGACCCCTCGCCCTATAAATGCCTGACTTCAAATAACGATTAAACGCATTCATTAATAGCTCTGTGAGTCCAAACAATCCTTATTCCACCCTCAACCCCCCCCCCACCCCCCTCGGTCTTCACAGTCACTCCTCATTTGTCATTTTAGCCCCGGAAGAGGGACCTGATTTCTGGCGAGTGATTCAAGAATATCCTGGATCGAATCGGACCAACGTCACGCTGCTTCTGAAGGTGAGAAACGTCCCATGAGCAGCAGTCTGAGCAAGTGCATTGGAATTCTTGCAGAGTTCCTTCACTCAAGGTTTAAAAGACATCCTTGTGAGATTACCTAATTTGTATAGTATAGGTTTATAATTTATTTGTGTATAATAACCACAAGTCGTGTGGGCTTTGAACTGTAAGCTACATATTATAAACTTAAACTGTCACATTCAGCAATGACAAATTTTTCCTTTAACCTCTGCAAGCCACAGTACACGACGGCCGTTTTTTGTGACATTTTGTGACAAATCATGTTTTAAAAGATAAGGCTTGATAATCCCAAGTAAAACCCAGACTGGACAGCTTGAAAAGTCATGAGTGTCCAACTTCAGTGTTCAGTTCAGTTGGCCTTGTTGAACGTCAAGGAACGAAATCATCATCTAAATTGATATTGTGATGGAGTGACTCAAAGGTCCTGTTCTCTGTACTCTGAGTCAGGAATTTGTCATTGTAGCATGGAAGGATATGAAGCTGATCGATGATATTGTTTGACATCTGAGAAGGTGCGTGTGTATGTATGATTATGTTTATATTACATTGTATAGATGAAATGTTCTCAAAATGTGATAAAACCCTGTAATTTTGACATTGTGGGGACTACCTTTTTGGTCCCCACAAGGGGAAACCCATTTTTTTAAGGCTCCCACAAAATAAACCTCAATTTTCTAAGAATTTGTGAATGCGATCAAAAACCATAATAGTCAGAAATCGTGTATTTTGGGTAGAGGTTAAAGGTTATCATTGTTTGGATTAGGGTCTTAGATACAGAAATGAACGGAGAGTTCCCATAAAAACTATGAATACAAATGTGTGTGTATGTGTGTGGGGATGGATATAAAAGGTCCTTTCTGTCCCCACAGCCTTTGCCAAGGGGGAACCCGCTGTTTTGTGTGGAGAGGCTTGAAGTTCGTCACCAGACCACTGGGGGCGCCATGTGGTCAGAGAACCCGGGTTGGGCGTCTGGCTACACTTTCCTCTGGAGTGCAGAGGAGCACTCTGTCACCGTCGTGGCCGTCAATGACCTCGGGTCCTCGACCAGGAACACTCACATGGCACTGAGCAGACGTTCCAAAAGTGAGACCCCCCTGACAGTATCATGACTAACACTGTTAATAGCAATAAAAGGTAGTTAAGTTTGATTCTGATCATTGGTGTTGGGGAGATCAGATCACAGTGTTGGATTAGTGCTGTAGAAAATGAAAGAATGGATGGAGGGGCAGGTTTGTTGTTTCTGGGGCCACACTCAAAAGGGCACTTTGGGGCCTACCTACTGTAGTGACTGTTTGTGGCCAGCAGGGGGCCCCCCAAAACCTTGGGGCCTCCACCCAAATTCATGGTTGAGTGCTGGTAATGGGTGGCTATATGCCAATAATTTACAGTAATATTGTTGTAACCTTTGCAGCTAACGACATTTTGATTTAGCTAGCTGGTACTGTGGCTGTAGGCACGTTTGGCTAACCTCAGTGGAAATATGCAATCAGTGGAAATAACCCACTTTACTGTTATGTGGGTAAAATCGTCACCCTCCACCTAAGCCCCAGTTACGGTGAATATTCCCTCCATCGGCTCTGCGGTTCTTGTGCAGCCATAAAAATGAAAGCTTGTCTTGCGAAAAGCGAGCCCCCCTCTGAGGTGTCTGCAAGGCGGATGTGTGTCGGCCGGGCCCCCCTCCCCGTGAAAACGCTGCCGGCGCTCGACCCTTAGCACAGAGAGGCTTTGGCCTTCCCAGCATCACCCCTCCCTGTGATTGGAAAGTGCAGACAGTCCCTCTCAGAGCCTCACGGCCCTTTAGTCACTGGCAGAGACTTTAGCCACTTTAGCGACTTTCAAATTGAAATGTGAAATATCACCCTGAATGAAATTATTTTGAATGCTTGTTTATAGAAATACATTTAACATGCAAAAGAAATGACAGAGAGGTTAAATATTATCATTATTATTGTTAATAGCACATGAATAATGATTAATAAGGGACAGGAGAGGTAACTACTGTAGTTTATTTTGCTAATGACAGTGGTTATTAAGTTGATTACGCTGGTTGTCCGTGGTTCTTTATATTGTGGCTGAAGGTAGCTGAGTGGTACAGTGCTGGTTTCCTGAAGCTTTTTCTGGTCCAAATAACTGTCTGGGAGGGTGAGGAATTATGGGCTGGCCTGTGTGGGTTTTTTCATGCAAAGTGTTGCTTTTCCCATTGGAGGCCAGAAAGAGGCTCTGTGTGGCGTTTGGAGAGAGTGGGCCCTGTTCTGCCCCACCCCGCCCCGGCCCGGCCACGGTGGTCAGCTTCTGCGGGCAGCCTCCCGCTTTAGGTGCTCTGCCTTGGACTGCACTGCCCTCCTCTGTGCTCAGACTGACTGCCTCTTTGTGTTGCCTAAGGGCTCAGATTAATCCAGATTAGATACTTGTTTTGAACTGCATGATGTGCAGTAAGGCGGCAGGGTGGCTTAGTGGTTAGCACTACAGCCTTATATCGCCCAAATTGGGGGTTTGAATCACATCTAACTTTCTGCAAGTGCTGTTTACGCATTCTCTTACCTATTATGGATGCTCATGGGAGTTATACGTACACAAAAATGTTCTGAGGGCGGAATGAAAAATGATTGGTTCGGAGAGATGACCAATCAGATCGTAGAAGAGGTGGGTCCAAGCAACTAGAGCAGGCGGGACCGAGACATCTGATTGGTTGGTCCCTCCTCCTCTGGTTGCTTGGACCCACCTCCTTTATAATCTAATTGGTTATCTCTTTGAACCAATCATTTCCTTCTCCTCTCAGAAACATTTTGTGTAAGTAAGACTCCCATAAGTATTATGCATGGGTTTCTTCCCACAATTCAAATAAAAACACTGGAGCCTGTAACTTGCCCACAACATGTGATTGTGTGCGTGTGGCCTGTGACAGACTGTCCCCCTTGCCTTCTGGGATATGTGGCATGGATGGTGGATGGGTATTTCAGCATGTACCATGAAGATGACGTAGGCCTGTTTTCCGGAGACTTCCCTCGAATAACAGAGGCTTGTTACTGTTACCACATGCCAAACGTGGTTTGAAAAGAAGCTCTTTAATAACAGCAATGCTCTTGCGCTTCTTTGTACCGTGCTCCGGAGTGACATTTTCCTGTTTTTCTCCTCTATTATCCCTGTTTTTATTAATAGTCCTTTTTTGTCGGCCTGAAAAAGCTGCCGGTCAGTGTAATCGAAGGAAGAAAACCTCTTTGCTTTATCTTGCCGGGTCGTTAAATCGGCTGCACCGAAATGTAATTTCCGCCATTCGCTCTCGCCGCGAAGGTCCTCGCCTGCTTGTTAGTGCCACAAACAATCTTAATGGATTTCTCTAACGGACCTTACTCCGGTCCCCCCCAGCGCAGCCGCTCCGGGCTTTCGGCTCCACCGTGCTGAATGGCAGCTGTGCGGTGCTGTCCTGGGTGCTGGACCCCACGGCACCTGCCCCAGCGTCCTTCGTGGTGGAGTGGCGAGGTCGAGGCGGTGCCGGAGAGTGGACGGCCGGGGAGAGTTTCAGCTGGGCGCGAGTCCCTGCAACGACAAACACCTTCTATCTGCACGGTAATGCTTCACCATCGCTGCACTGGCATCTCTGTAGTTTCTGTTCGTGTGCGTGGTCCCTGTGGGTTCGGCCTCTGTGCTTGTGATAGGAAGGTCATCAGCTCCAATCCTGAATTCCGCAGAGGAGCCACATCTCACCTGTTTATATGTGTTTTAAAAAACGAGAGAAAGGTGGGATATGTGAAAACTAACACACTCAACAAAAATACTCATATAACTCAAATAATCATTTGATGAGGGTCACTGTACTAAAAAGGTGCTTAGTGATGAAAACACCCTTATGTATCATCTAGTGCCACCTGGTGATTTTTTATTTCTGCTGTATGGACACCTTGCAGGTGTGGCTCCATCACACGCTTCCATCCCGTGGTCCTGACTCCGTGTCCCGGCTGGAAATGACCGGGCGCTCCTCTTCAGAGACGCACATTACCTGCCCATCTCCCGCCACCGCGCTCTCATGTATCCTGTAATTTACTCGTTGTTCGTTTTGTATCTTCTGCAGATGTGTTCTTTGACTCGGATGAATACCAGTTCGTTCTCTACCCGATCTTTGAGCGTGGGGAAGGGGAGCCCATCTGCTCCAAAGGCAAGTCCATTCCCTGTGCTTTATCTCCCTTATGGAGTCACCTGTGGACCCTGACCAGCAGTGCTGCGCAGAGCTAACGTAGAGCCCTAAGAGAACGTCACTCCCCCAACAAACTCGCTAAATCAGCACCCCCTCAGAAGATGGCGCCCTAGGCAGCCGCCTATGTTTGCTGATCGCCTTCCCATAATGGCTGCCTTCTCTTACCTACCATCATTAATTTCTTTATTCCCCTCGCAGATGACAGGGGGCGTCCCGGCGGAGAGCAAGCGGTCTATATGCTGATGATGGTGGTGGCTTTCCTGTCTGTGGCCCTGTTCCTGATGCTGACCGTCTCCCAGCGCCAGTACGGACGGCCCCTGTAGCTCCTTTGAATGCGTGTTCCTTTCGCGCTGCATGCGTGTTTATTCGTCTGCGTGTCGCATGTGTATTTTTGCAGCATGCATTTATATAAAAGGAGCAGTAGGATGAGCTGAAGTGGTGACGCAGTGTGCCTGCTGGAAAATGGAGGGGAAATTAAGGGGCTTTTTTTTAATACACAAAACTTTCTTTTGAGATAATTTCATCTGAAATATCGTTTCACATCTCTAAATTTGGTTCAGTGGATGACATGGAAGCTGCAGTGGTTTAGCAGATTTGCAGTTACCTGGTAAATTGGCTTAGTTCTCTATAGCGTATAATCCAGTGCAGATTCTGTCTGCAAATAAAAAAGGCTGAATATGTCAATTTGAGAAAAGTGTTGGTCCTCTGACCTTGGAGAGGCTGACCAATCCACTGGCAGGCCGGTTGGATCATACTCTCCTGAAGACCATTAGGGTTTGTGGGAACTTGGCACCAGTACATGCCCAGTTATGGAAAAAAAGTCTGAGCGCCAATTTTCAGTGTTTTCATGCTTTATCAGAATTGGGAAACATATCAGGGGAGCAGTTATTGCTCTGAAGAACAATGTGATTCTGTTCATACGTGGACTGTGTTCCTTACCTCAAAACCCTTGGCAGTTCTATTCTAAACCATCTGGGGTAGAATCATCAACGATAGTATATTATTATTCCTTCATTAGAAGAAGTACAGAGATTGCTATGACTTAGAAAAAGTCTCTACCCTGGGTCTTTGGATTGATCTTGGTTGGTTCTTTTGGTGTATTGTGAGAGGGCACAGAGGGGGCCTCTAAGCAGGGAAAAGCATGACGCAGAAACCTGGCACCACCCGGGTAATTCAACCCCAATGTAGGGGCTGTCTGGGTCAGCTGTTTCAATGCCGTGCTGTAACATTTGCTCCGGGCGAGTCAGCAAACAGAACCTGGTGACACAGAGATGGGAGAAAGAAAAGGGACTTTATATTTGGATGGAAAAGGAGACGGGTTGGCGTTTGGTGCCTGTCTGCCCGAGAACTGTTAGAAAACCGTTTCCGGGTTCCACCAAACCACAGCCAGAGCTTTACTGCTAAAATGGAAAGCTTGGGAGGCTAGTAAAACTTCTCAGGAGTGGCCGTTTGGACTAAAAGATTGATTGTAAGGTGTAAAATCACAGAGGTACACGTTAAAGAACCAGTGAAGAATGCTTAGGGATCAGCAGGCCTTTCCGTGCTTTGGCTGAGGTAAAAGTTTATGGCTTCTCCATTAGACACCGGGCAAAAATAAGATGCAGGACATGATTTAGCAGCAAGGTAGAAACCACTGCTGTTTGAGAAGAAGCCAAATGCCCATCTCAAGTTTTCCAGAAACCACTTGTGTGATCCTCAATAATTAGGGAGCAACATTCTATGGACATTCTATGGAATCGGTAACCCTTAGGTCCCATAATGCCTGGTGAAAACCAGCCACTGTATGAACCTCCTACCAACAGCGTAGTGGAGGCAGGCTTATGGTTTAAATGCTTTTCTGCTACGTGATCAGGATGACAGGAAGAATGCAACTCAGGAATCCACAATGCATGTCGACACCAGTCCAAACCTAAACCTCAGTGTGATTGAAGCAGTTCTGCATAGAGGACTGAGTCATACTTCTAATGTGACAATTAATTATTCTGTAACACAGTAATTGTGTGCATGTCACAAATTCAAATTAATTGCATGCGATTTAGAAACACGCTCATGCAGAAAATGACACTGGATTAATACTTCTTTTTTGTGGCATGAACCATTGCTTAGCAAATGACCTCTGAAAAACCAATGAAATATTCTGATTTTATTACCAAGACAGGGTTAGGATTAGGATATACTGTAGGTAAGAGTACGCTGAAGACTGTTAAAACAAGACCATTTCTGTCAGGTTCAGAAGATGGCTTCCCTTGTCTCAAATACATAACCCTGGATATAAAAAACAAGAGTCCTGTGATTGTCCTGATTCTCTGGGAAATAATAAGATGGATCAGTAATTTTCTGAAGACTAATCCAAACCCTGCCTTGAACCAGACAAATGTCCTGGTGTGGCATGATGGAAGGACCTACAACAGCTAATTTATTGGAACAGATCACAAAAGGGACCAAACAAAGGCAGGTTGGTTACACAGGGAATAAAAAAGGGCTGGATCTTCACGCAAGGATAAACAGAGGGAACACAATCAAAACATGGACAATACTGGCAGAACTACTGGCAGGTAACACAAGTAAACCCCACAATGACCAGATGAAGGGCAAGGGAAGGCACATATACACACATGTAACTGGGACTAGACAAGAAACAAGTGTGGATCAAACACTAGGGCCAGGACTAACAAGGCTCAGGTGTGGGTAATAAACAATCAGAGAGACTCAAACACTAGGAAAGTGATGACACCTGCTGGTCAAGCAGGGAAAAGACAGACAGGACAGGGACTTATCCAGACAACAAATACAGCAAAACCTGCACACTACACACCACCTCAGATTTCTACATTTCTTATTGCTGTAAGTTATAGCTGCTTATGTGGCCTGATAATCACCCTCCGTTTTCCATTCTGCAACAATAGGAGTTTATAAATATCGTCTTAGGTAATATGCACCATTCGCCTTGTTTTTGTTGGCCAGCAGCTTTGCCCAGTCAGGCTAGGAGAGTGAATGTCAGTGCAAAGACTTCTGCCAAGATGACTTCTTGAAAAGGCCGAGATCTCAGCAGTGTAATTCTTCAAGGACAGACTCTTGGCAGTGGAGATCAGAACAGATCGAGGCAGCTGAGGAGTTACCGGGACAAAGCGATAGTGGCTGTCTCTCTGGTACGGCACGCAGTTCGTCCTTCATGTTTGCCAACTTTCCTCCTGGTTGTATTTGTTTCAGGATGAGGAGGGTTGTTTGGAAAGATGTTCCGAATCCCAGCAACTGTTCGTGGGCCCAAGGCGTGGATTTTAAGAAGGTCAGTGTCTCTGCCTCGGTGCCGGGTGGGCTTCAGGCATACGGATCAGTCTTGCCTTTGCTGATGACTAGTTAGGGAGCCAAGACTGGAATCTGAATGAAATTGTCTTTGACGTGACATGTAAAGTATACTGTACAGGTCTCTTCGGTAACGTTTACCGAAACACCTAACTCGAGTATCTTCTGCATTACAATGGAGTCACTGAAATATGATGTGCTTGGGTCTTAGAACATAGTGCAGAACAGTATGATATCGGTGGGTGGCCTGGTGACTCACCCAGTAGCACTGTGACCTCACACCTGGGTTTTGGATTCCATCCTCTGTATGTGTAGAGTTTGCACGTTCTTCACATGTTGATGTGGGTTTCCTACAGATTCTCAATTTTCCTTGTACAGTCCAGAGACCGTTGGGCGGTTCAGGTCTATTGGTATCTCTATATTGCCAGCGCACTGTATGTGATTAGCTGCTCTGTGACAGACTTGCATTCCATCCAGGGTATCTCCTGTTTTGTACCTTATCGTTTCCGGAATTGGATCCTGGCTCACCATGACCCTTCAGAGGATAAACGACCGTGAAGCAGTCATAGAATCAAGATGTAGTTGATTAATTTTAATGGATGGCTTTAACAAAAATTGGAACAGAAAATGGAGACGGTTCAAACATTCAAACCATTGTGAATTCAAGTAGGATTAAAGATTACCTTAGAGATTAAAGATCAAGTGAGAATCTTCGACACATTAATTCAGGTTTAGCAGGTCCAAGCATGAATTGTGAGCTGGTACATACTGACAGCCCCTCTGTTTTCAGGCAGAGACCATCGAGAACCTGTTTCGACACCCAGAGCTGCTGATGTCCCACCCATTGCTCCTGGAGTCAGAGACCATCTCTGAAGCTGTGATCGTGGAGGAGACCACACCCCCGGCTCGAGAGAAGATCAGTGAGTCTCATGGACACTCAGCCGGTGGGGACAGCGGTGAAATTCAGGGACTTGAGGGTTCAGACCAGTCTAGGATCACCTATGCTACCGTCCTGCCTCCGGGGGCACTCTGTCTTCTCTACAAGCAGCAGGAGAGTCTCAGTAGCATCTCTGATGAGGGCAACTTCTCAGCCAACATCTCCGACATCTCTGGGTCATTTCCGGGGGGGGCGTGGGAGCCCGAGCATCCGCGGGGTTCCGAGTTGCATCTCCGGTGCTCTAGCTTGTACAACTCAGCCGAGGAGTACTCCGAAACCTCGGAGCGGGAGGAGGAAGAGGCCCCAGAGAGGAGTGACACGGGGAGGAAGCTGTGCTATCTGAGGATGACCTCACAGGAAGAAGGTGAAGAAGACAATGGCAAGGAGGAGGAGGAGTTGGGGGCTAGGTTCCTGCAAGACGATGTCCTGGCAGCCCTCCCTGAGCAGTGGCACAGGCTCCCCCTGGAATCCAGCCCCCTGCTGGGCACTCAGGGGGGTGAATGGGCCGTGGGGTCGGCAGTGAGTAACGTCCCGCTATACATGCCCCAGTTTCGAACTCTACCGCGTAAGCCATCAAGTGTTGCAATACACGAGACATCCCTCCAGGGGTCGCCAACACTGTGACCAATCCAATACATGGAATCACTCTTGCTGCTCTCACACTCTCTTGTGACACACCCCCACTCTCATTACACCCTGACCCATGTCCAGGTGCCTCTATCTCTTTCTGAAGGGCTGTGTACGACTTGTAGTTTTTAAAGACACCCTCCCGGTTTGCGTCTGACAATGGCAAATCTGGCGTGGTTCAGGCAGGCGGAATCTCACCATGCGTGTGGCCATGCAGTGTCACACTATTGGAGGTGAAAGGGCATTATCGCTACAGCAGCACACGGGCGCGAAACGTCACAAAACAGAACACTGCGGCAGATGGCATTAGGCGTTGTCAGCGAACGTGGCGGTCATTGGGAAAGAAACTGCGACTAACAGGAACTCGCCTCTGTCAATCAAACCAACCATCACATGTCGAGTTCCACCTGAATGTATATTTTTGTTGTTTTACGTACTGTATCCTGTCTTTGAAATGACCGTGTAAAATATGATCTATTTTCAGTATTTCCCATTTTCTACTGCAAGCAGATAATGAATGCAAGAAAAACCTATAAGGTTTTAAATTACATGATTGTGCCATTCAACTGGTAAATACTTCATAAGTGTCTACATAAGTAGTTCGCATATTTTTGTGGTCAAATAAAGTATTTATTGTCAATGGGACTCTTTAATTTGGTGTTTTTTCCCTTATGAAAAACCTAAACAACACGTGAAGTTTGCGTCAGTGCTTCTTTTCAGTAAATCCTTGAGATGACTAAACTGACAAAAAAAATAAACTTTGTGGTGGAAAGCTTTGAATACATATTATAAAGTGCGAGCAGCCTTACAATGAGCCCATATCATAGGCCTGCAGCTACCGTGACTCAGCACTGAAAACAGACACTTATCCTTGAGATGAACCCGCAGGAAAATAATGACTAACGTTTCTAAGGGAAACTGGCAACTAAACATCAGAAACTGAAAAAACGTGTCTCCTTTTCTTGAGAAAAGTAACAGCTCACTTGTTGAAAAAAGATAATGTAATAAATCACGAGAAAGCTTTGATGTGAAATCCACGTTGACATAAATATAACTTTTTGTAATCACCATAGCTAGAGTATGACAAACTTAAAATTAGCACTCAAACCGACATGCACATTGTGCACAAATTAAGTTCCGTTTTAAGCGACACTTCAGCTAAATATAGCCTAATCGTTCATTTGATAACGTGTTCATCTATGAAGAAAGGAGTAAACATCTTTAAATAAAAAGTGAAATATTTAAAGTGGTTTTTCTCCTCAGTCCTTGGTGTTGGGTGATTCCCAGATGAGTTTGTTTATCAGCTGTGAATCCTTTGAATGAAGGAGCTGTTGACTCTGCAGGGGACACCGATAAGAAACTCACTTAATAGCGTGAAATACCCGCAAAACGCCTTATCGTGTAACCCGATAAAGCACCATCTTCGCTGTTCAACCTTCTTTCGGATTCTCGGGGTAGCAACACTGCCACCTATCGGACATTTATCATTTGGCGATCTGGCAATGAAGGAATGAATGGTTCTTTAACGTCATCTAGAGCAAATAGCTGGGCTGCACTGGCCATCTGGCATACCGGGCATGTTCCCGGAGGGCCGACGGGTGTGTGGGTCGGCAAAATTATTAACTACATGATCTTTGAAAACGGAAGTGCATCATCCCGCGCGCGTTTGATTTAATCATGCATTTTCAGCCTCCTGCAATCACTTAAGGAGTGACAAAAACCCCTCCCAAAAATGAGACTACTTGTACCAACCTGCCGTTTAGCACATATTTCTTGCTAGCTGGTGTGTAGATTAGCATAGCAACAGAAATGTAACATAACAATATAGACAATCGCCAACTCCAAATTCGGAGTGATCCTAATGCAATCGAAATTTATGGCAAAAAAGTAAAAAACATTTTGTTTTAGTAGTTAAAAAACGAAATCTATGCACAGCTTACACAAACAAACCATCTAGTTTAAGAATCATCAGCTCCGTGAAAAACATATATTTGTTGACAACCAGCCCTTCAATTAAAAAATGGAGAATTCATTCAGATTTCAAAACTGGATTTTGTAAAATCACACCATTTAAGTAATATGACTTAAATCAGCGCGCACGATGTGTACAGAACCTAATGATTCACCGCCTTGCGGGCGGATGTGTGTCCTGCAGAGGGCGACCTACACCGTCTTAAGGATCTTGTGAAAGGTTCTCGGAAAAGAAAAATGACAGCAAGTTCTGCACAAGTTTTATATTACAATTTTACATTATTTATATGAATGTTTTTTATTTATTCAATACAATCAAGTTTTTAGGAAAAGTACAATGAGTGCTGAAATATGTCACATCTGGGAGTTTCATCTTAGGGCTGAAAGATGCAGGGAAAAAAATATAAAACACAAACTCGCAGGGGGAGCCAGATGCAGAGGTCTAAGTTGATAATAATAAAACTGGATCCCTTCTTGCAGCACCAGAACCAAACCACGATTATCAGCGTTTTATGTTCCTACGGTACATGCGGACTTGGTGAAGAATTTCTCTCTGACTTTCTCCCAATTTTGCATAAGCACTTCTGATTCTCAGATCCGTAACTCATTTACCCTTTGGTGTTAGAATATTATAAAGTGAAGTAAAATGAAAACACGTAATTCAACTCAATTTATTTTTATACGGTGCCTTTTTCAACACAGTCGTTTAAAGGCACTTATACACACAATAACACATAAACAGAGCTCTCTTTTTGTGGGCTCTAGGCCAGCCTCATCTGTTTGTTTTCTGTTTTTCCCCTTTATGTTACTAGTTATCATTGCTTCCCTGTTTTGAGTTAGCGTGCTTGTGCTCTGTTTTATTGTGTTCTGCTTGTACATGTTTAGTCTGTTTCCTAGTCTTGGTGTTTGTTAGGGTTCCCTTGCCCAGTCCAGTGCTCATTGTAGTTCATTCCACCTGTTGCCTGTTACCCTGCTTTGTTGCTTGATTGGTTGTTTTTGATTATTCACACCTGCCCTTTGTTAGTCCTCAGGATCAGTGTATTTAAGTGCCTGCCTTAGGTAATTTCCCCAATCGGTCATTGTGTATGTTGTTCTGCATTTGTTACTCTGCCTGTTTTCTGTTCTCTGTGTTACTCGTTTCCCTTTAGTCATTTGTGGTTCTGTTAGTTATTTTCCCCAGTTTAGTTCTGACCCCTGGTGGTCCTTTTGTTTTGCATTTTACCCCAGTGTGTTTTTAGTAGACCCCCTTTTGTCATCACTTCCTTCTGCCCGCACCAGACCCCGAGTCCCTAACACATAATTTAACTAGGAATTTGCTTGTGTATTTCCACTGACTGTTTGTCTGTGGCATATTGTAAAATATAAACTTATTTCTGTATTGGGTGTAAAAATAATAGTATTTTTAATAATCCCATTTTGGAGGCTGCGGAATGTCACATTTTTCGACAAGCGTCTGCTCAGTTGACCAGATTATGTTGGTTATGCGCTGCTGTTGTGGCGGCGCCTGTTTGTGTTGTGGTCTTCATGTTTGTGTTGTGGTCTTCATATCCTGTTGTGGTCTTCATATCCCCACATGGGACAGTGGATACACCTCCTCAGCATAACGTCTGGGCTGCACAGCAGTACTTAGTGGGGTTTTCATAACGATGTGGGTCAGGCTCGGCTCAAGGAAACAAGGGCCATCCCATCTTCTGGTTCCCTGCTGCTGTGTGAAGTGACTTTATAGGTCTGTCTTACAGTCCGCTAGCCAGAGGCCTTGAAAGGGAATGAGGATTCATAGTGGTTTTTCACCAGGCCAGTTCCACTGGTGGGTCACTGCATTTCCCGCTTTCATGTATCGTCACACTTTCATGCTTCATACATTTCATGTGAAAGAAAATAACTTCCGAAAAGGTGAGAAAACGGTCACTCAGACTTAGCTATAGAATGACTCCACAGAAGACAGCTACTGTCTAAAAGCTTTATTCACATGGAGTCGTTATAAAGCTTGGTACCCTTACGGAGTATATATATATATATTTTTAATTTAAAGTGTTTTAACATTGACGGCTACATCCCTGCAGATCCGGACAGGCCTTTGATTCAGAATAGCCATATTTTCCGTACCTCCAGTAGAAAAGATAATCTGCATCTATACAATTCTCTGTCTCTTTTTCATTCAGATGAACTTTATTGACATTATGACTGGAAAGTGTCTTGCCGAAGCCATTTCGGAGACAATAATAAAACTGTAGGGAAATTAAATCATGCAAACATAGTAGACAAAGATAATGAATATATTAGTTTTCTCTCTCTCTCTCCCTCTCCCTCCCTCCTGTGCTCTCTGGTATATTTGCAGACATCCACCGTGCCCGCAGCACCAGGTCAATAGCACCATGTTGCCACAGCTGCCCTCGGCCTGGCTGCTGCTCTGGGCAGCGTGTGCACCACCTGGCAACCAGCACCACACAAACCGTGAAGATACAGATGGAAACCCAGCAGATTCATTGGGGACCATGAAAAGACTCCACTATTCACATAAAATACCACTATGCTATTAGAGCAGTCATTATATATTGTTTTGGCGTGATTATGTAGAATTTATAAGGGATATGTTTGCTGCAAGGAGTTGGCCTCCGATGGACTTACAGAGGTTAACGGCAAAGCAGAAACATCCAGGTGATTCTTGAACCCTCAGCATGGGGAGCCTAAGCCATCATGTTTCCCAGCATGCAATGCGAGTACCCAGGAGACCATGGGGGTGGCGGCATGTCTGGGAGGGTTGTGATATTTGCAGGTAGGGGACTGGGGCCACGGCTCTCTCCTCATCACAGAGGCGATTCTACAGACCTTGGGGGCCCTAGGAATAAAAACTCCACGGGGCCCTCCAAGTCATCCCCCCCGACATGGTAATGTTTCATACCATTATTTAGCAGGAAGCCTAAATTAGTAATATTAACAAGGAGAAATTAAACACAAGTCCTTTATTTTCACTTTTGTGCCGAACTTTATGCAGCCACCCCTCCAGATTCGTGAATTTGACACAGATTCGCAGTTTTGGTTATTCACGAATTGGCCGTGAACTATTAAACAGGCGTATTTTTGGAGCTTGCTGAGAGATTGCCGACAACACCTAAACCAAACATAGATAAGCGATAATGAAAATTATTTGAATTGCATAAAATCTTTATGCTACTAAGTCTTTGAAATTAAAAGTAATTTTTGATAAGCAAAAAAAGTGTGAGATTTGACCTTTTCTCTCGGAAACCAACATCACTCACACGTCAGCTGTCTTTATGATTGTGGAATCTCATGTTTCTCTCCGTAACTTTTCAACTTTTCAGTGCCGTCAGTTTAGCATTTTTAATAATGGCCCCGCTTTTATTTGTGAATTTTCACATTTGCAGGGATCTAACCCTCAGGAATGTGAAGCGGAGTCTCTACACTAATAAAGCAGATTTGTTGCTGCATTGTACTATATAATCTGCCGCCCTCAGTGGCCCCCTCCCAGCTCGGGGCTCCGGGCCCCGGGCCCCGCACCCCGGGCAGTGGCCGACCCTGTCGCTGCACCTCCGCCCTTTCGCGTCCTCGAACTGTCGCATGCACACCCACTCCAGACCCCCCTCTAACCCCCCCGCCCCTCTTTTAATAAAAGCGTGCACCTCAGGTTCATGTTCTGCCTCTTTATCT